CCCCGAAATACTGCGGGTAGGGCAGGCTGGGGACACAGGGGACACTGAGCTGCTGTCCCCAGCCGTCCCCGGGCTGTCCCCGAGGCCGTGGCTCACCTGTAGCCGAATTTGTTCATGGCCACGGAGGCGTGTTTGGGGTTCCAGGGGTCGCAGGTGTACAGGTTGTGGTCGTTCTCGGGGATCAGGTCCACGTCGTGCAGGAACAGGCAGTCCCAGTCCTCGTCCTTCAGGGCCTCCTTCACGCCCACGTTCAGCAGCTTGGCGCGGTTAAACGTGCAGTTCCCGGCCTGGGGACACCCCAAAATGTCCTGGGGTCACCCCAAAACGTCCTGGGGTCACCCCAAAATGTCCTGGGGTCACTCCAAACCATCCCCACTGAATCATCCCCTCTAAACCATCCCTTCGCCCCCACGTTCAGCTTGGCGCAGTTAAACGTGCAGTTCCCGGCCTGGGGACACCCCAAAATGTCCTGGGGTCACCCCAAAACGTCCTGGGGTTACCCCAAAAGGTCCTGGGGTCACCCCAAAATGTCCTCACTGAACCATCCCCTAAATCTCTAAACCATTCCTTCAGGCCCACGTTCAGCAGCTTGGCGCGGTTAAACGTGCAGTTCCCAGCCTGGGGTCCCCCCAAAACGTCCTGGGGTCACCCCAAACCACCTCTAACCCACCCTGAGGATCCCCCAAACTGACTTAAACCACCCTGGAGATCCCCCAAGCCACTCTGGAGACCCCCCAAAACAACTCAAACCTCCTCGGGGTCCCCCCAAAACACCTTGGGGATGCCCCAAACCACCTCAAACCACCCTGGGGACCCCTCAAACATCCCTGGGGACCCCCCAAAGCCCCCTGAGGACCCCCTAAACCACCTCAAACCACCCTGGGGACCCTTAAACCCCCCTGGGGATCCTCAAACACCCCTGGTGACCCCCAAACCACCTTGGGGATGCCCCAAACCACCTCAAACTCCCCTGGGGAGCTCCCAAACCCCCCTGAGGACCCCTCAAACCCCTCTGGTGACCCTTCAACCCCCCCCGGTGACCCCCAAACCCCCCTGGGGACCCCCTAAACCACCTCAAAACCCCCTGGGGACCCCCCAAATCCCCCTGGGGACCTTGGAATCCCCCTGGGGACCCCCCAAACCCCCTTGGGGATGCCCCAAACCACCTCAAACCCCCCCTGGGGACCCCCCAAACCCCCTTGGGGATGCCCCAAACCACCTCAAACCCCCCCTGGGGACCCCCCAAACCCCCTTGGGGATGCCCCAAACCACCTCAAACCCCCCCTGGGGACCCCCCAAACCACCTTGGGGACACCCTAAACCACCTCAAACCCCCCCGGGGACCCCTCAAATCCCCCTGGGGACCCCTCAAATCCCCCTGGGTACCCCCACGCCCCCCGGGCACCTGGTGCACCACGTAGATGCCGTAGTGCAGCTGCTGGCGCTGCAGGAAGGGGTGCAGGTAGTAGAGCAGGTGGCCCAGGTGGCCCTCGCGGTGGCGGTGGGGGACGATGACGGCGGTGCGCGAGCGCGCCTCGCACTGGGGGGGCCGGTAGCGCCCCCCCCGCTGCACCCCCGGGTTCTTGGCCCGGATCTGCTCCAGCGACGGCGCCCGGGAGAAGGAGACGGCCAGGGGGCCCACTGCGGGGGAGGGGCAGTGAGGGGGATGGGGGGGGGGGGGGTGGGGGTAACTGGGAGCACTGGGAGGGGCTGGGGGTGTCCCCTCAATGCCCCAAACTGGGCTGGGGGCGCTGGGGGGCAACTGGCCCAGCCTGGGCCGGCTCCTTCCCGGGACAGGGCCGGGGTGGGGGGGAAGGGAACCGGTTCGACCGGTTCTTGTGCCCGGGGAAAGGTCGGGTCCTTCCCGGGAGCGCCGGGAGCCGGTTCTCACCGGGAGGAGGGGCTGGAACCGGCTCTTTACCGGGGCAGGGGCGGCACCGCTTCCTCCTCCCTCGGGGAGGGGTCGCTCCCCGCTCCTTCCCCCCCGCGGGAACGAACCCGAGCCCCTCGGGGGTCTCCGTTCCCTCCCTGGGGGGTCTCCGGTTCCTCCCCTCTCCCCGGTTTCCACCTCGATGCTCTCCGTTCCCCTCCCGGTCTCTCCCGTTCCCCCGGTTCTCCTCCCGTTCCCCATTCCCGGGAGGGTCCATTCCCTCTCCGGGGTCCCCGTTCCCCTCCCGGTTCCCCCTCAGGGCTCTCCGTTCCCCTCCCGGTGCTCCCGTTCCCCTCCGGTTCCCCCGGTTCTCACCGAGGAACGGCGATCTCTCCGGGCAGAACGGCAGCGGCCGTGCGGGGTCCGGCGGCTCGGCGGCGCCGCTGCCGGTACCGAGCGCGGCCCCGACGCGGCTGAGGTTGGCGTACACGTCGTGGGGCCGGGAATAATCCACGGCGGGACCGGCGGAGCGGGCGAAGAGCGCCGTGAGGTTCCGGAACCCGCCCAGCGAGAAATAGGCCACGAAGGCGAACTGGCACCCGACCATCAGCGCCAGCGAGCACGGCCGCTCCAGCAGCCGCCGCAGCATCGCGGGGCCGCCCGGTCTTACCGGGGAGCCGCCCGCTTTACCGGGGAGCCGCCCGGTGTTACCGGGGAGCCGCCCGGTGTTACCGGAGAGCCGCCCGAGCGGCCCGGGGCAGCATGGCGGGGGCTCCGGGGCTGCGGGACAGAGGGGACGGGGTTTGGAGCGGCACCGGGAGGTGGAGCGGGCCCGCTCCGGTACCGGGAAGGGCCCGGTTCAGCCCAGTCCGGTACCGGTTCTGCCCGGTCCGGTACCGGTCCGGCCTAATCCGGTACCGGTCCAGCCCAATCCGGTACCGGTCCAGCCCGATGCGGTACCGGTCCGGCCCAGTCCGGTCCCGGCTCTGATCCGGTACCGGTTCAGCCCAGTCCGGTACCGGTCCGGCCCAGTCCGGTCCCGGCTCTGCCTCCCCCACCGAGCACCGCCGGTGCGGCCTCACCCCGGTACCGCTCCGCGCTCTCCCCGGTGCTCCCGGCCCCGGCCCGAGGCCGGTGCTGCCCCGCCCGCTCCCGGTACCGGCTCCCCGCTCCGGCCCAGCCCCGCTCCCGGTCCTGCCTCCCGGGCAGCGCCCCCGGCCCCGCTCCGCTCCCGGTACCTGCCCGGGCCCGGCTCAGCCCCGCCCGCCCGCCGCCATCTTGGAGCGGAGGGCGCGGCGTGATGACGTCACGGGGCGGGGGCGCGGCGGGGGCGCGCTCCGGGCGGGCGGGGGCGGCCGGGCAGAACCGGGGGGGTCCCGAGGGGGCCCCGGAGCCGCTCGGTGACCCCGGGGCGGGGCACGGAACCCGCAACGACCCGGGACAGCCCGAGAGGGCGTGGTCTGCGTCAGCTCCGCCCCGAGGGGCGTGGTCTCACTGGGCGCCGTCGCCGTGGCAACCGCGCCTTGCCCCGCCCCTCTGTATAATTTTTTAATTTATTGGTGACGTCACGAAGAGACCGCGCTGTGATTGGGCGCGGGTTTGGTGGGGGCGTGTCCGCGCCACGTGCGCGTCCTTTTCCAGCGGCGGCTTTGCACGCATGCGCACCGTGTCTGCCCACACCCGTCATGGCGGCGCCCGCAGCTGCCCTTGCCCTTCGCAGCCGCGGCGCTCCCGCTCCGAGCCCGCGATGGCGGCACGCCTGCCCACACCCACCAAAGGGCCGCTCACTGCGCCTGCCCTTCCCGGCCACGGCGCCCTCCGCCCCCGCGCAGCGCCAAGGTCACGATGGCGGCGCGGCCGCCCACACCAACACGGCACAATGGCGCACCGCGCATGCGCAACATACACACTATACTAGATAGGGATCTGCCCGTACCCAACATGGCGGCGCCCACGGCGTCTGCCCGTCCCCGCCATGGCGCCCGCCGCGCATGCGCAGCGCCAAGGGCACGATGGCGGCGCTGCGGACGCTGTGGCGGCTCCGCGGCCCCTCGGGGCTGAGCGGGGTGCTCTGAGGCCTTTGAGGGCATCTAGGAGGGGTCCCGAGGCCTTTGGGGGGCGCAGGAGGGGTCCCGAGGCCTTTAGGGAGGATCTAGGGGTGCTCTGAGGCGTTTTGGGAGGCCCAGGAGGGGTCTCAGAGCCTTTAGAGGGGCTCTAGGGGTGCTCTGAGGCCTTTGGGGGGCCACAGGAGGGGTCTCAGGGGCTTTGGGATGGTCCTGGAGGGGTCCTGAGATTTTAAGTGGAGCTTAAGGAGGACTTTTGGGGGTAGTGAGGTGGTTTGGAGGTCACTCAGGGCGGTTTGGGGTCGCTCAGATCAGTTTGGGGGTCACCTAGGGCTGTATTAGGGTCACTCAGGACACTTTGGGGTCACTCAGGGCACTTTGGGGTCACTCAGGATCCCCACAAACCCTCAGCGGGTTCCGTCCCTCCCTGTCCCCAACATCTGGGGGGTTCTGTGCCCTCCCTGGGGGGACTGTCCTGATGTCCCTGAGCCCTCCCCGTGTCCCTGACTCCTCCCTGTGTCACCCCCGTGTCCCTGTGCCCTTTCTGGGGGGGTGTCTCTGTGTCCCTGACCCCTCCCTGTGTCACCCCCTTGTCCCCAAGCCCTTCCAGGGTTCTGTCCCCATGTCCCTGACCCTCTCAGGGTCCTGTCCCCATGTCCCTGACCCTCTCAGGGTCCTGTCCCCATGTCCCTGACCCTCTCAGGGTTCTGTCCCCATGTCCCTGACCCCTCTCAGGGTCCTGCCCCCGTGTCCTCCCGCTGTGTCCCTGGCCCCTGCTGTCCCCCCCCGTGTCCCTGAGCCCTGTCAGGTGGTTTGGAGGTCACTCAGGGCGGTTTGGGGTCGCTCAGATCAGTTTGGGGGTCACCTAGGGCTGTATTAGGGTCACTCAGGACACTTTGGGGTCACTCAGGGCACTTTGGGGTCACTCAGGATCCCCACAAACCCTCAGCGGGTTCCGTCCCTCCCTGTCCCCAACATCTGGGGGGTTCTGTGCCCTCCCTGGGGGGACTGTCCTGATGTCCCTGAGCCCTCCTTGTGTCCCTGACCCCTCCCAGGGTTCTGTCCCCATGTCTCTGACCCTCTCAGGGTTCTGTCCCCATGTCCCTGACCCCTCTCAGGGTCCTGTCCCCGTGTCCTCCCGCTGTGTCCCTGACCCCTGCTGTCCCCCACCGTGTCCCTGAGCCCTGTCACTGTCCCCCCCCCCAGACAAGGACCCCGTGGCCCACAAGAAGGTCTCCAGCCTGACCATCAACTTCGGGCCGCAGCACCCGGCGGCGCACGGGGTGCTGAGGCTGGTGCTGGAGCTGAGCGGGGAGACGGTGAAGCGCTGCGACCCCCACGTGGGGCTGCTGCACCGCGGCACCGAGAAACTCATCGAGTACAAGACATACCTGCAGGTGATCCTGGGATCCCCAGTTCCATGGGAATCCATCCCTGAAACCCCCATTGCCCTGATATCCTGAGATCCCATTGCCCTGTGACCCCCACACCACAGCGCTGAGAAACTCATCGAGTACAAGACCTACCTGCAGGTGATCCTGAGATCTCTGTGATCCCAAATTCCATGGGATCTCTGTCTCTGAAATCCCCATTTCCATGGGATCCCTGGGATCCCATTGCCCTGGGGTCCCTGTCACCCCCACGTGGGGCTGCTGCACCGCGGCACTGAGAAACTCATCGAGTACAAGACCTACCTGCAGGTGATCCTGGCATCCCCAATTCCATGGGAATCCATCCCTGAAACCCCCATTGCCCTGGGATTCCATTGCCCTGAGATCTCATTCCCATGACATCCCCATGTCCCTGTCACCCCCACGTGGGGCTGCTGCACCGCGGCACTGAGAAACTCATCGAGTACAAGACCTACCTGCAGGTGATCCTGGCATCCCTGAGAACCCTGAGATCCCTGGGATTCCCCTCCCTGAAATCCCCAATTCCCTGAGATCCCATTGCCCTGGGGTCCCTGTCACCCCCACGTGGGGCTGCTGCACCGCGGCACCGAGAAACTCATCGAGTACAAGACCTACCTGCAGGTGATCCTGGCATCCCTGGCATCCCCAATTCCATGGGATCCCTGTCCCTGAAATCCCCATTGCCCCGAGATCCCTGAGATCCCATTGCCCTGTGACCCCCACACCACAGCGCTGAGAAACTCAACCTGATTTCCCTGGGATCCCATTCCCACGGGGTCCCCACGTGGGGCTGCTGCACCGCGCCACCGAGAAACTCATCGAGTACAAGACCTACCTGGGGGTGATCCTGGGATCCCAAATTCCATGGGATCCCTGTCCCTGAAACCCCCATTGCCCTGGGATCCCTGTCCCTGTCACCCTTGTCACCCCCACATGGGGCTGCTGCACTGTGGCACTGAGAAACTCATCGAGTACAAGACCTACCTGGGGGTGATCCTGGCATCCCTGAGATCCCTGGGATTCCCCTCCCTGAAATCCCCAATTCCCTGAGATCCCATTCCCATGGGGTCCCCACGTGGGGCTGCTGCACCGTGATACTGAGGAACTCATCGAGAACAGGACCTACCTGGGGGTGATCCTGGGATCCCCAGTTCCTTGGGATCCCTGTTGCTGGGATCCCTGAGATCCCATTCCCTGAAACCCCCATTCCCATGGGATCCCCATTGCCCTGTGACCCCCACACCGCAGCACCGAGAAACTCATGGAGTACAAAACCCACCTGCAGGAGATCCTGGCATCCCCAATTCCATGGGATCCCAGTACTCCCAGCACTCCCAGTATTCCTGGCGCTCCCAGTATCTCCACTATTGCCACTACTCCTAGTGCTCCCAGTATTCCCAGTATTCCCATTATTCCCAATTATTCCCAGTCCTCCCAGCACTCCCAGTATTCCTGGCGCTCCCAGTATCTCCACTATTGCCACTACTCCTGTTACTCCCAGTATTCCCAGTATTCCCAATTATTTCCAGTCCTCCCAGTACTCCGCTGCTCCCAGTTCTCCCAGGACTCCCACTACTCCCAGCAGTCCCAGTACTCAAACACTCTCAGCAGTCTCAATACTCAAACACTCCCAGTGCTCCCAGTATCCCCAGTACTGCCCTGCTCCCAGTATCCCCAGTACTGCACTGCTCCCAGCCCTCCCAGTGCTCCCAGTATCCCCAGTATCCCCAGTACTGCACTGCTCCCAGCCCTCTCAGTGCTCCCAGTGTTCCCAGTGTCCCCAGTACTCCCAGTGTCCCCAGTACTGCACTGCTCCCAGCTCTCCCAGTGCTCCCAGTATCCCCAGTACTGCACAGCTCCCAGCTCTCCCAGTGCTCCCAGTATCCCCAGTACTGCACTGCTCCCAGTGCTCCCAGCCCTCCCAGTGCTCCCAGTATCCCCAGTTTGGGGGTTCCCGCAGGCCCTGCCCTACTTTGACCGCCTGGACTACGTGTCCATGATGTGCAACGAGCAGGCCTACTCCCTGGCCGTGGAGAAGCTGCTCAACATCCGGCCCCCTCCCCGGGCTCAGTGGATCCGAGGTGAGGCTCCCACAGCGTTCCCGGCTCCCTGGGCCCCCCGGGGTTTATGGGATCACCCCGTTTTTAACCCTTTTCCCCCCTTTTTTCAGTTCTCTTCGCCGAGATCACGCGGCTGCTGAACCACATCATGGCGGTGACCACGCACGCGCTGGACATCGGGGCCATGACCCCCTTCTTCTGGATGTTCGAGGAGAGGGAGAAGGTGGCTTTGGGGGATTTGGGGTTCGGGGGGCGGGCTTTGGGGGTGTGGGGGTGCTGAGCAGCAGCGGGGTCCCCTCTGTGCCCCCCAGATGTTCGAGTTCTACGAGCGCGTGTCGGGGGCGCGGATGCACGCGGCCTACGTGCGGCCCGGGGGCGTGCACCAGGTGAGGGGCTGGGCCTGCTGTGGGAACCCCATCCCTGGGAACCCCATTTCTGTGGGAACCCCATCCCTGGGAACCCCATTTCTGTGGGAACCCCATTCCTGTGGAAACCCCGTTCATGGGAACCCCATTCCCTGGGAACCCCATTCCTGTGGGAACCCCATTCACGGGAACCCCATCCCCGGGAACCCCATTCCCATGGGAACCCCATCCCTGGGAACCCCATTCCTGTGGGAGCCCCATTCCTGTGGGAACCCCATCCCTGGGAACCCCATTCCTGTGGGAACCCCATTCCTGGGAACCCCATTCCTGTGGGAATCCTATTCATGGGAACCCCATTCCTGGGAACCCCATTTCTGTGGGAACCCCATCCCTGGGCACCCCGTTTCCATGGGAACCCCATCCCCGGGAACCCCATTCCTGTGGGAACCCCATCCCTGGGAACCCCATTCCCACAGAAACCCCATTCCCATGGGAACCCCATTTCCAAGGGAGCCCCATTCCTCGGATCCCCATTCCCCTGGGCATCCCATTCCCACAGAAACCCTGCTCCTGGGATGTCTGTACCCCCCAGATCCCCATTCCCATGGGAACCCCATTATTTCCCTGGGATCCCCGTTCCCTTGGGACCCCACTCCTGTGCTGCCCCCATCCCTGGCACCCTCGGCGCCCCATTCCCCTGGGATCCCCCAATCCCTGGGACCCCCATCTGGCCCGCTCAGTGTGAGCCCCCTGCCCACATCCCGGTGCCACCTGAGCTCCCACCTGGCCCACGTGTCCCTCAAATTGCCCCTGTCCCACCTGTGCCAATCCCATCAATCCCACCAATCCCATCAATGCCACCTGTCCCAGTCCCACCTGTCCCAGCAATCCCAATCCCATCAATCCCACCTGTCCCACCTGTGCCTCCTGTGCCAGGACCTGCCCCTGGGGCTCATGGACGACATCTACGAGTTCGCCAAGAACTTTTCCATCCGGATCGACGAGGTGGAGGAGGTGAGGGGGAACCTGGGGATCTGGGGACAGCCAGGCTGCTGTCACCTGTCCCCTGTCACCTGGGAGGGGCAGGGTCGTCCCTCACAGCATGGCGGGGTGAGGTGACACGGATCGGGGTGGAGGGGGACAGGGACGGGTGACAGGTGTGAGAGGTGCCAGGGACAGGTGAGAGGTGCCAGGGACAGGTGAGGGCTGCCAGGGACAGGTGACAGTGCCATGGACAGGTGAGGGATGTGAGGGACTGGTGAGGAGTTCACAGGTGACAATGGCAGGGACTGGTGAGGGACAGATGAGGGGTTCACAGGTGATGGTGGCAGGGACAGGTGATGGTGGCAGGGACAGGTGATGGTGGCAGGGACAGGTGATGGTGGCAGGGACAGGTTTTGGTGTGAGGTGAGGACAGGTGAGGGACAGATGAGGGGTTCACAGGTGATGGTGGCAGGGACAGGTGACAGGTGTGAGGGGTGCCAGGGACAGGTGACAGTGCCATGGACAGGTGATGGTGGCAGGGACAGGTGAGGGGTGCACAGGTGATGGTGGCAGGGACAGGTTTTGGTGTGAGAGACACCTGCAAGGCACAAGGAACAGGTGCCAGAGCCAGGTGAGCATTTCCAGCACCAGGTGACAGTACCAGGGCCAGGTGAGAAGTGCAGGGCAGGTGCCAGGTGCGCCAGGCAGGTGCCAGGTGTGCCAGGTGTCCCCGGTGTCCCCAGATGCTGACCAACAACCGCATCTGGAAGAACCGCACCGTGGACATCGGCGTCATCACGGCCGAGGAGGCGCTCAACTACGGCTTCAGGTGAGCCGGGGGGCCCCAGGTGTGCCCCGCCCCGCGGCCGGGCGGGGCCAGCTCAGGGGCTCTTTTTGGGGTGTCCCAGCGGGGTGATGCTGCGGGGCTCCGGCATCAAGTGGGACCTGCGCAAGACGCAGCCCTACGACGTCTACGACCAGGTGGAGTTCGACGTGCCCATCGGCTCCAACGGCGACTGCTACGACAGGTACGGCCTCACTGCCCTGGGGCTGCCCCCCGTGCCCCTGGGGCTGCCCCCCGTGCCCCTGGGGCTGCCCCCTGTGCCCCTGGGGCTGCCAGTCCTGGGGGGCTGCCCCCCGTGCCCCCTGGGGCTGCCAGTCCTGGGAACCCTCCCCTGGTCCTTGGGATTGCTGTGCCGGGAATGGCTGATCCCACTGGATCCCCCACAGCAGGACCCCTGTCCCATGGGAACCCATCCTATGGAACCCCATCCCTTGGAACCCCATCCCTGGGACCCCAGGACCCCGATCCCATGGGAACCCATCCCATGGAACCCCATCCCTGGGACCCCAATCCCATGGGAACCCCATCCCTGGGACCCCCAGGACCCCCATCCCTGGTACCCCAATCCCATGGAAACTCCATCCCTGGGACCCCCAGGACCCCAATCCCATGGGAACCCCATCCCCAGGGACCCCCATCCCATGGGAAGCCCATCCCATGGGAACCCCATCCCCAGGGACCCCCATCCCATGGGAACCCCATCCCTCAGAGCCATCCTTGGTTCACCTCTTCCCTCAGGATCCCCCATTTTCCTGGGATTTCCCATTTCCCTGAACCCCCCCACTCCCCAGGATCCCCCATCCCAAATTCAGGGTGCAGGTACCTGTGCCAAGTGGAAAAGATCCCATATCCCAGTTTCGGGGTTCAGGGGGTCCCCTCAGTCCCAGTTTTTGGGGTGCAGGTACCTGTGCCGCGTGGAGGAGATGCGCCAGTCCCAGTTTTGGGGCACAGGGTGTCCCCATACCCCATTTTGGGGCACAGCAGATCCCCAATCTCCGTTTTGGGGTTCAGGGGGTCCCCCCAATCCCAGTTTTTGGGGTGCAGGTACCTGTGCCGCGTGGAGGAGATGCGCCAGTCCCAGTTTTGGGGCACAGGGTGTCCCCAGTCCCAGTTTTGGGGTGCAGTAGATCCCATACCCAGTTTTGGGGCACAGCAGATCCCATACCCGGTTTTGGGGTTCAGGGGGTCCCCCCAATCCCAGTTTCGGGGTGCAGGTACCTGTGCCGCGTGGAGGAGATGCGCCAGTCCCAGTTTTGGGGCACAGGGTGTCCCCAGTCCCAGTTTTGGGGTGCAGTAGATCCCATACCCAGTTTTGGGGCACAGCAGATCCCATACCCGGTTTTGGGGTTCAGGGGGTCCCCCCAATCCCAGTTTCGGGGTGCAGGTACCTGTGCCGCGTGGAGGAGATGCGCCAGTCCCAGTTTTGGGGCACAGGGTGTCCCCAGTCCCAGTTTTGGGGTGCAGTAGATCCCATACCCAGTTTTGGGGCACAGCAGATCCCATACCCGGTTTTGGGGTTCAGGGGGTCCCCCCAATCCCAGTTTCGGGGTGCAGGTACCTGTGCCGCGTGGAGGAGATGCGCCAGTCCCAGTTTTGGGGCACAGGGTGTCCCCAGTCCCAGTTTTGGGGTGCAGTAGATCCCATACCCAGTTTTGGGGCACAGCAGATCCCATACCCGGTTTTGGGGTTCAGGGGGTCCCCCCAATCCCAGTTTCGGGGTGCAGGTACCCCCATCCCTGGTACCCCAATCCCATGGAAACTCCATCCCTGGGACCCCCAGGACCCCAATCCCATGGGAACCCCATCCCCAGGGACCCCCATCCCATGGGAAGCCCATCCCTCAGAGCCATCCTTGGTTCACCTGTTCCCTCAGGATCCCCATTTTCCTGGGATTTCCCATTTCCCTGAACCCCCCACTCCCCAGGATCCCCCATCCCAAATTCAGGGTGCAGGTACCTGTGCCAAGTGGAAAAGATCCCATATCCCAGTTTCGGGGTTCAGGGGATCCCAAATCCCAGTTTCGGGGTGCAGGTACCTGTGCCGCGTGGAGGAGATGCGCCAGTCGCTGCGGATCATCCTGCAGTGCCTCAACAAGATGCCCCCCGGCGAGATCAAGGTGGACGACGCCAAAGTGTCACCCCCGAAACGCGCCGAGATGAAGGTGACGTGTCCCCAGACCCCTGGCACGGTGACACCAAAGCCTGGTGCCACCCAGGGCAGGTGGCACCAAGGCCTGGTGGCAGCCAGGGCAGGTGCCAGCTCGGCAGTGCCACCCCTGTTACCCCATTTTGGGGCACAGCAGATCCCCAATCTCCGTTTTGGGGTTCAGGGGGTCCCCCCAATCCCAGTTTCGGGGTGCAGGTACCTGTGCCGCGTGGAGGAGATGTGCCAGTCCCAGTTTTGGGGCACAGGGTGTCCCCAGTCCCAGTTTTGGGGTGCAGTAGATCCCATACCCAGTTTTGGGGCACAGCAGATCCCATACCCGGTTTTGGGGTTCAGGGGGTCCCCCCAATCCCAGTTTCGGGGTGCAGGTACCTGTGCCGCGTGGAGGAGATGCGCCAGTCCCAGTTTTGGGGCACAGGGTGTCCCCAATCCCCGTTTTGGGGTTCAGGGGATCCCCAATCCCAGTTTCGGGGTGCAGGTACCTGTGCCGCGTGGAGGAGATGCGCCAGTCCCAGTTTTGGGGCACAGGGTGTCCCCAATCCCCGTTTTGGGGTTCAGGGCTCCCCTCAATCCCAGTTTTGGGGTTCAGGGGATCCCCAATCCCAGTTTCGGGGTGCAGGTACCTGTGCCGCGTGGAGGAGATGCGCCAGTCGCTGCGGATCATCCTGCAGTGCCTCAACAAGATGCCACCCGGCGAGATCAAGGTGGACGACGCCAAAGTGTCACCCCCGAAACGCGCCGAGATGAAGGTGACGTGTCCCCAGACCCCCCCGGCACGGTGACACCGAGGGCAGGTGGCACCCAGGGCGGGTGGCACCAAGGCCTGGTGGCACCCAGGGCAGGTGCCAGCTCGGCAGTGCCACCCAGGGCAGGTGACACCAAAGTTTAGTGCCACCCAGGGCAGGTGGCAGCAAGGCCTGGTGGCACCAGGCCAGCTGGCACTGAGGGCAGGTGACACCAAGGGCAGGTGGCACCAAGGCCTGGTGGCAGCCAGGGCAGGTGCCAGCTCGGCAGTGCCACCCCTGTCCCCACAGACGTCCATGGAGTCCCTGATCCATCACTTCAAGCTCTACACCGAGGGCTACCAGGTGCCACCCGGGGCCACCTACACGGCCATCGAGGCCCCCAAGGTGACACCTCCTGTGTTTGTCCTTGGCACCGGCTCCGCCCCAGCCCTGTCACCGTGTCCCCAACCCTGTCCTTGTGTCCCCAACCCTGGTTTTGTGTCCCCATGACCTCAGTCATGTCCCCAACCCTGTTTTCATGACCACGACCCTGTCCCTGTGTCCCCAACCCTGTCCCCATGTCCCAGTCCATGTCCCCAGTCCTGTCCCCAACCCCATCCCCGTGTCCCCAGCCACATCCCCAACCTTGTCATCCTGTCCTTGTGTCCCTGACCCTGTCCCCAACCCTGTCCCCAATGTCCCCATTGTCCCCATGTCCCCATTGTCCCCATGTCCCCAACCCTGTCCCCATTGTCCCCATGTCCCCATTGTCCCCACAGGGGGAGTTCGGGGTGTACCTGGTGTCCGATGGCAGCAGCCGTCCCTATCGCTGCAAGATCAAAGCGCCCGGCTTCGCCCACCTGGTACGGCCTGGGCACACCTGGGCACACCTGGGGACACCTGGGGACACCTCAGGATACCTGGGGACAGCTGGGGGACACTGGTGGGATACCTGGGATACACCTGGGATACACCTGGGGACACCTGGGGACACCTCAGGATACCTGGGGACACCTGGGATACTCCTGGGGACAGCCTGGGGACACCTCAGGATACCTGGGCACACCTGAGGGACACCTGGGGATACCTGGGGGACACTTGGGGACATCTGGGCACACCTGGGGATATCTGGGATACACCCGGGGGACACCTGGGGACATCTAGGGGACACAGGGGGATACCTGGAGACACCTGGGGATATCTGGGATATACCTGGGGCACACCTGGGGGACATCTGGAGGACACCTGGGGACACTGGGGGATACCTGGGCACACCTGGGGTACACCTCAGGATATCTGGGGACACTTGGGCACACCTGGGGGACACTTGGGGACATCTGGGGGTACCTGGAGCACACCTGGGGGACACCTTGGCACACCTGGGCACATCTGGAGGACATCTGAGCACACTGGGGTGCACCTGGGCACACCTTGGGGACAGCCAGGGGCACCTTGGGGACACCTTGGGGACACCTGGGATACACCTGAGGGACACCTGGGCACACCTGGGGGACACTTGGGGACACCTTGGGGACACCTGGGGACACCAAGGCCTCAGGGAGGTGGGGACAGGGGACACTGGAGGGTCCCTCTGGGTGTGTTGCAGTGGGGGGTATGGAGGGTAATTAACCCCTGCGGGTTAATTGGGGTGCTGAGGGTTAATTGGGCTTCCCTGGGAGTTAATTAGGGATCCCTGGGGGTCGGTTAATTGGGGGTCCCTGGCAGTTAATTGGGGGTCCCTGTGGGGCTCTCCAGGGGTTAATTGGGGGGGTCCCTGTAAGTTGGTTAATTGGTGGTGCCTGGGAGTTAATTGGGGGTTAATTGGGGGTTAATTGGGGGTCCCTGGGGCGGTTCCCATGGGTTAATTGGGGGTTAATTGGGGGTCACTGTGCATTAATTGGGGATTAACTGGGGGTCCTCATGGTGGGGGGGGTTGAGGGGCTGTCTGTGGGTTAATTGGCTGTTAATTGGGTGTTAATTGGCTGTTAATTGGGCTTCCCCAGGCCGGGCTGGACAGGATGTCCCAGGGCCACATGCTGGCAGACGTGGTGGCCATCATTGGTGCGTCCCCCTCCCCTTTTGGGGTCCCTTCCCCCTTTTTGGGGGGTTCCCCTCCCCATTTTGGGGTTCCCCCCTCCCCTTTTGGGGTCCCTTCCCCCTTTTTGAGGGTCCCTTCCCCATTTTGGGGGTCCCTTCCCTGTTTCGGGTCCTCCTTCCCCATTTAATTGGGGGTCACTGTGCATTAATTGCGGATTAACTGGGGGTCCTCATGGTGGGGGGGGTTGAGGGGCTGTCTGTGGGTTAATTGGGTGTTAATTGGCTGTTAATTGGCTGTTAATTGGGTGTTAATTGGCTGTTAATTGGGCTTCCCCAGGCCGGGCTGGACAGGATGTCCCAGGGCCACATGCTGGCAGACGTGGTGGCCATCATTGGTGCGTCCCCCTCCCCTTTTGGGGTCCCCCCTCCCCTTTTGGGGTCCTTTCCCCCTTTTTGAGGGTCCCTTCCCCCTTTTGGGGGTCCCTTCCCTGTTTCGGGTCCTCCTTCCCCATTTTTGGGGTCTCCTTTGGTTCTGTTGGGGTTTTTTTTCCCCATTTTAGGGCCTCCTTCCCCATTTGTGGGATTTCTTCCCTTTTAGGGTTTCCCTCCCATTTTGGGGGTCGCTTCCCCAATTTTCCCCTACTGGAATCCTCCTTCCCTGTTTTGGGGGGGCTCCTCCCCCAGTTTGGGGGGGTTCTTGCCCAGTTTGGGGTCCCCTTCCCCACCTTTGGGGGTTTCCTTCCCCATTTGGGGGGGGTCTCCTCCCTTTTTAGGGTCTCCCTCCATTTTTAGGGCACCCCTTCCAGTTTTGGGGTCTCTTTATGCTTCCCCACATCCATTTCCCAATTTGGGGGGTTCTTGTCCAGTTCTGGGGTCTCCTTTCCCATTTTGGGTGGGGGGTCTCCCTCCCTCTTTAGGGTTTCCTTCTGTTTTTGGGGTCTTTTCTGTTTTTAGGGTCTCCCTTCCTTTTTGGGGTGCTCCTTCCAGTTTTGGGGTCTCTTTATGCTTCCCCACATCCATTTCCCAATTTGGGGGGTTCTTGTCCAGTTCTGGGGTCTCCTTTCCCATTTTGGGTGGGGGGTCTCCCTCCCTCTTTAGGGTTTCCTTCTGTTTTTGGGGTCTTTTCTGTTTTTAGGGTCTTCCTCCATTTTTGGGGTGCTCTTTCCAGTTTTGGGGTCTCTTTGTCTTTCCCTACATCCATTTCCCAATTTGGGGGGTTCTTGTCCAGTTTGGGGTCTCCTCTCCCACTTTTGGGGGGTCTCCTTTCCCATTTTGGGTGGGGGGTCTCCCTCCCTCTTTAGGGTTTCCTTCTGTTTTTAGGGTTTCCTTCCTTCTTCAGGGTTTCCTTCTGTTTTTAGGATCTCCCTCCCTTTTTGGGGCGCTCCTTCCACTTTTGGGGGTCTCCTTTCCCATTTTAGGGGGGTCTCCCTCCCTCTTTAGGGAGGGGGGTCTCCCTCCCTCTTCAGTGTTTCCTTCTGTTTTTAGGATTTCCTTCCTTCTTTAGGGTTTCCTTCTGTTTTTAGGATTTCCTTCCTTCTTTAGGGTTTCCTTCTGTTTTTAGGATTTCCTTCCTTCTTTAGGGTTTCCTTCTGTTTTTAGGATTTCCTTCCTTCTTTAGGGTTTCCTTCTGTTTTTAGGATTTCCTTCCTTCTTTAGGGTTTCCTTCTGTTTTTAGGATTTCCTTCCTTCTTTAGGGTTTCCTTCTGTTTTTAGGATCTCCCTCCCTTTTTGGGGTGCTCCTTCCAGTTCTGGGGTCCCCTTCCCCTTCCCAATTTTTGGGGTGGGGTCTCTCCCCAGTTCGGGGGTCTCCCCCCGTTTTGGGGTGCCCTGACCCCCTTTTCCCCCCGCAGGCACCCAGGACATCGTCTTTGGGGAAGTGGATCGATGAGGGGGGTCCCCGTTCCCTCTCGTGTGCTGCTGCATTTGGGGGTGCCCCCGCCCCCATTTCGGGTCAAATAAAGCCAGAATCGGGTCCTGAGCCTCCCTGTCCCCTTTGTCACCCCTTTGTCACCTCCTTCCCCAATTTGGGGGGGCTCATTTCCCCTTTTGGGGCCTCTCTCCCCAGTTTGGGGGGGCTCATTTCCCCTTTTGGGGTCGCCTTCCCTTTTTGGGGGTTTCCTTCCCCTTTTGGGGTCCTTTACCCTTTTGGGGTTTCCCTCCCCTTTTGAGGCCTCTCCAATTTGGGGGGCTCGTTTCCACTTTGGGGTCTCCCTCTCCTTTTGGGGTCTCTTCCCCTTTGGGGTCTCTTCCCCTTTGGGGTCGCCTTCCCTTTTTG